ATAATAAAACCATGAATATTAATTTTGTCTTGACCACGATTAGAAGAAACAATTTCATAAACAGTATTATTCATTTTAAAAAGGTAGTAAATATATGTGATATGATTATGATAAAGTTATTATGATAGTTATTATCAAATTAATTAAGAAAATTTTATTCTGATGTCTTTGCGAATTATAGTTATATTTACAATGAAAAAATTGTCATGTAGACAACAAGCAAACCATACTCTTTCTGGGTATCAGGTGATTTTAAAACCCATCTTTGTACAAAGTAGGTTTTCGCCAAATTCCTTTATATTACAAATTAAAAGATGCGCAAAAATTTTGGAAAAAAGAAACACATTTCTAATTGTTTAATAAATCAGATATATTGTATATACTCTTTCGAGTTAGAAAGTGATTGGTAACAATAATTAATTGTTGATTTTAAAATTTTTTAAAACTCATCTTTGTACAAAGTAGGTTTTCGCCAAATTCCTTTATAACACATTTCTAATTGTTTAATAAATCAGATATATTTCGAGTTAGCAAGTGATTCCAATTAAAAATTTTTTAAAATTAAATACTAACCAAAATTATCAAATAAATAATGCATCTAAAAAAATAAAAAAAAAAAGTTTATAGCATGCATTGTTATGATGCTAGACAAAAATTGACAAAAATTAAAGTTTTATTTATTTATTTAACACGATATTATTATTAAAGTATGGCTTTATTGTAAGGTTTCTGGTCTAATATAACCTACCTCTATATAAAAAACGTTGAAAACCCCAAATCGACAAAATAGTTTGAGCTTTGAGAAACAGTTTGGGCTAGAAACCTTACTTGATTGTCAGACCCATTTAATCATACGATTTTAATAATATCAAAAACTAATTTTCAATTTAATGATTTAGCGTAACATATGCATTGCACTGTTTAGTATCTACTACTACCATTTAATTTATTTATTATTAGTATAATTTGCATTTGTATGATTGTAATTAAGAAAGAAAAATTCAGGTAAAATCAGAGTGCTAATTAGTTTGCAAGTATACGAATGACTCAAATTTATGTATCATGAAAGGAATATTACCAATTTGTCTGATCCACACACTCTACAAAAAACAATAATTATTATCAATACTAAAATATTCAACGTCAATATTGTTGCCATCACTATCATCACCTCATTTATCATTAGTACGATACATAAGCCGACGAAATGAACTGTCGAAGAAATAATTTTCGACGAAATGAACTTTCGATGAAATGAACTTTCGACGAAGTGATTGTCGACGAAATAATTTTCGACAAAGTAAACGGGACCGATAACATCAATGTCATATAGAGAATTCTACTAAATTCATTTGATCTTTTGCAATTGACATTTTGTTGTTAGTGATTAATTAATTCATTAAGGGGATACAAAAATGATAAACATGATTTTTAGTTCAACTAGAATAGCTCATAAAAAACAACAACTACCCTCTAATAACACTTACTTATGTATAGTATCATCAAGTTCTTTAATTGTTTTTTATTTAATAAAATAAACCATCATTTTATCGATTTAGTATAAATTTTCTAAAATAGCAAAATTTTCTGTGGTGAACAAAGGAAATTCAAATAATTTTAACTTAGACACTGGGTATGATTTGATTACAAATGGAAAATTTCATGTTTCTATATAGAGAAGAAATAAGTATGGATTATTGAGAAAGTTCTATAAAAAAATAAAATAAAAGTTTTTTTTTTTTTTTTTGGTGTCAATTTTAAATAGTACATAGTTTTTAATTGAAAATAGTTAAACGACATTAAATTAAAATAACCTTTTGATTAATAAATGTATTGGCATACAAAAACGTGTTTTTAGTCATTAAATTAATGTAATAACTTTTTGTTAAATTTTCTGATGATTCAGCTTGTCGAATTAATTCACTTAACAAACGACTTGTATAAAATGGTTCAGGATGATGTTTATGGTTCTTTTTATCCAACTGAAACTTTTCTGATTTGATGATTTGTCTTCACATGTAGAATTTCTTAAATAATTGTCATTATATTAATATATAATATATGCTTTTTTGGTAAATTAACAAGTAACGATATCATTTTAAACATGACCTGATCAAGACAAAACTTGAAAATCAACAACAATAACTTGATTTTTTTGCATTGGCTGTTCAAATACTCTTGTATGGAAAGTTTTCATTCTACTTTTACTGTGTTAAATTTAAATTGGTTTCAAAGTTATTAATAAAAACATTCCACGTGTGATCTCACGTTTATAAACTATTAATTGCCCAGACTAAGCTTTTTAATTCTTAGCATTCCTAATTTGGAGGTTTGGTGACGTCTTTAATAAACAAGCAATCACATGCTCATGAACTGATTGTCTAAAAAAAGAAAAGATCTATAGAATAATTTTGTTTAATATGAGGAAACCAAATATTATGATTTTGAAAAAAATATCTTGAAAATAATTAAAAATCAAGCTATGCAAGAAGAAAATTACTCTAAACTATCTGAAACAATTCAAGAACCATTTACAGAGCATATTGGAAATGAAGAAGCAAAAGTAGAAGAAACATATCAACCTTCAAATTTTTCCGTTCAATTTTCGAATGTTACTAATGTAACAAAAGTAGGTCTAGATTTTGCAAGTGTTGTTTCCAAAGTTACATTTGATACAATGAAGCTTACAACTCAAACTGGGCTAGGAATTACCAAGGTGGTGACTGGTACTGTATCAGATAGTTTAATCTCAATAAATAATGCTACAATGAATGCCATTAATAACAATAACGGAGACATTGATAATAATGGAAATAATGATAATACTGGGTAAGAAAAGTTTTTTATAATTATGATAATGTTGGGGATAATGACAGCCTTTAAAAGGAGATAAATATATATGTCTGTATGTGTATATTATTTGATTTCTTGTAAAAAAAATTTTTTTTTTGTCAGATACTCATTTATTCCAATGATAATCGATACATCAACAAATATATTACACAAAACATTGTCAATTGCTGAGAATATTGCTTTGTTTGGGATAGATTTGACATCGGATACTATTCAATATAGCTTGGATACAACAACTGATGGTTTATCAGTTGTTGAAAGCTTGTTTGGTATATCTGATTCAGCTAAAGCACTTGAAGAATTTGTAACACTTGTTAAACGTGAATGGAGATTTGATGATATTGATGAAAACAGTTGTGATGATACTATTCACAATAGCGATAGATCTGTAAATAATATCGATGGCGGTGATAGCAGTAATAATTTGGATACTACTAATGATGGTAACAATAATAATGTTACAAAATTTAGAACATTACGTATTATGAAGGCACTAATTGTATGGACATTTATACAACACATTACCAGAAAAAGATGGGCGAATAAAATCAATGGTAGTTGCGAGAAAATCAAGCATGTAGATTTATGTAATATTGATAAAGATTGGAGAAAATTGAATCTTTATGAAAAATTATATGAAGTGGAATGGATACATTTGGAGAACGAGGATGATATTGAAATGACTATAATAAATAATAATTATGATAATGATGATTGTGATTTTGATGATTGTGATGTTGATGTTGATGATGGTGGTGGTGATGGCAATAGTGATCGGTATAGTTGTAATAATAGTAGTAATAGTAGTAATAGTAGTAATAGTAGTAATAGTAGTAATAGTAGTAGTAATAATAGCAATAGTACTGATAATTGTGGCATCAACAGCAACAGCATCAATGACGATGAGATTATGGTGGGTGAAATTGCCACTCCTGACAATGGAATGTTGGATCAAGAAAATGAAGATTTAAATAATCTATCAAGAATTGAAGAATGGATAAAAAACTGGAAAATTTTGAATAATAACAATTAAATAGCCAATTAATTTAATAATAATAATGCCTTTTGATGTCAAAAATCAAACTCCCAAAAAAATTTTTTTATTAATTTTTTGATTTTATTATTCAAATAAAAAAAAATTGTTGATAATTACCTCTAATAATAATAACATTATCTACAGTAAATAATAATAACAACAACAACAAATCTTTATTATTACTATTATTATTATTTATTTTCAGATTTTTTATTATCATATAATCTGATAGATAAATTACACGCATGTCTGTTTTTTATTGGCTAATCTTTATCCATAAAGGTTTTTTTTATCATTACAAATAATAAATATTAAAATCTTCCGCCTTCTATAAATATACATCTTAACTCCACACGCACACACACACAAAAACTCGTTATCAATCAAAGTTACCTTCCATCAACATATAATCAAGGAGTCAGATAATAAAATTATTTGGATTACAAAACTTAATCAAAAACCAATGTTCTTTTATGATGACAAATATGGCAAGGATATAATTCAAAGATCTGTATTGTTATTTTGGATTGGTTATAACGTATTATTTTATTGATATAAATTTGTATTACTCTATAGATTAAAATGTTATTAGTAACATTAGCTTTAAATATTTATTATTCATATTAAACATTTTCCTGTTTTTAAGATAATGAACATGCACAAACTGATAAATAAAAGTTTATATAATGGGAATACACGCCATTGTTTTTCATCTAATTATTCAACAGGATTAACCTGTATACTATTCTTTTCCTTCCAAAAATAGTTCTTTTAAACAGTTAAAACACAATAAACAAGAAGGAAATTACTATATATGTTGGATACATGTTGGTCATGCGGGGGTGGCTGACTCATGTAACCGACTTTATCGAGTTGTCGGAATTTTTAGCCGACTTGTCGAATTTACATGTTAATGCACCCAAAAAGTATTCGAACGAGGAGGTTTTTTAACATAACTAAAGTACATAAAATCTATGTCACTAGATGGCTTAGGTTTTGACAGTTCTACTTATAAAATCTTGGTTTTTTTTTTAATCGTTATTTATGATTTTTAGTTAAAAAAAGACAAACACTGGTCAAAATTTTATTTTTATTTTTTTAATCAGTCTTTTGAAATACTAAGTGTCTTTGCGATTTTGCAAGAGAACTACCACCTATTCTTAGACCTAAAATTTCCTTCGTTCAGTTTTAGTTAACTCGGAATTTTATTTTTTTGCCATTTTTAAAAATCAAAAAAATCGTGAAAATTTTTTTTGATCTAATCAATTTTATCGGGAATCAGTTTATTTTTAATAATAAAATTTTTTATTCATTAAATTTTGATATAAAATTTCGAGAAACATAAAAATCACAAAGATAAAGAATGATAAAAAAAAGAAATTTTATATCCAGAATCGTCAAAACTTAAGTCATATAATGATATAAATTTTATGTACTTTCGTATGTGTCATTTTCATAATTATTAAAACCCCGTTCGAATACTTTTTGGAGGGCAGTGTATGTGCTGTATACGGTAAAATCAACGAAGTTCATCAAGTCGAAATTTTATTATGCTAATATTCAAGTAAAAGTTGCTCGCCTGGTTTTGATGTATTAGTGCGGAAAATTTTAAGTTCCAATTATTTAAATTAATTAAGATCGCTTCAAGCAAAGCTAGCCATTTTTAAAGTTTCACCTGTAAAACCAATCCGAAAGACCAAATTTATTCCAATATACAATTATATTAACTATATTACTATCTCCTCATTATCAAGCTTTAGACAATGCAATAAACATCTCTCCATATACGTTATATCCTTTGATCATGAACTAACTGGCCAAAAATATAGCATCCCATCCCATGATAGTTAACCATCAATTTACCTATAAGAAAATTTTCATTCACCACGATCATCAAAATTGTACTTGTTCTTGCATTATGAAATAGTCGCAAGATGGTTTCTGCTTTTTATTATTGGTACCACATTGTAAACCCGTTATTGTTCTGCTATATCCATCAATAAAAAACCATTATAAACTTCCACCTAATTAATTTATGATTCCATCATTATGCCATGATAAGATTAGCAAACACTATAAGGTTGGCAAGTTACAAAATTTGACAACCCATGATTTATGGACCTTATGTAAGTTGATTTCATATTTATATTTATAGATAATCCTGTAGGTGTTAATTTTACAACTGTTGATGTTGACCAATTTAATCCTGAAATTTCTTGGTGACATAATTCAATAACGGGGGCATTTGTCGCAGATAAATTCACTTTTACCAAAATTGAAATTTCATGTGATCCACATTTAAACCCACTCACATTTACATAGTGATATTTCGAAATATATGTTTTCCAATCCTATGTAGTTGTGAGGATAAAAAAAAGATTTTTTTTTTTTACAAACCAAAATTTGTTTCCGTTTACTGTTTTATGAATGAAATCACTACAATTGGATGAGTTTATTATTATTATATAGTTTGTTAAAAGTAAATTAATAATTTATTTTAATGCTGAAATTTATTATATATTTTTTCTAACGTGAAACGAGTATTTCTTTATCATTCAACGATGATATAGCTATTTAATTATAAGCAACACAAATAAAACAGGGAACGGATAAATAATCAGATAATTTGGGATTTTTGATATTTGCATTTTAATTAGCATTAAAATTGATTAAATAGATTTTGGTTCGTAAAAAAATTTTGGGCATTTCTTCAAACATAATGAAATTCAAAACTGCGTAATGATACACGCATGGCTTTGCCTACACGGAAAAAAAGGACAGGGAAGTTGATCTCATTTAACGTGATACATGCAGACGTTCTTGGCCCGTCATGGAAATAACGTTAACAATTGGATGAGCCTTTTGTTATTAGTTTGTTAATTACATATATAATTAAAGGTAAATTAATAATTTATTTTGATGCTGAAATTCGTTGTATAACTATATTAATTATAAGAACACAAATAGAATGTTATTTAAAAATAAAATTTTAACAGTATGGATTTTATAACTTTAATGTTACACTTTTAAATTGGCATTCAATCCACTTGTTTCAAGCTTGAATATCACGAATTTGTATCACAAAAATGAAAATTTCTGCCCACATGATAATTTTTGTGTTACAATAATTCCACAAAATTTACTGGTTCAATTGCACCATAAGTTGATCTTAAAAATATATAAAAAAAATTACATAAAAAGAAGAATTCTACATTTTAAAGTTTTTTTTCTATCTTACGTACTACCATAAAGGGCACACAGCGCAACTAAAAGGTAATTTGTTTACAGGCTAGTATGAGGATGAAAATTCTTATTTAACCATTTATCATCAAAACAAATATTATATTATGTAGGGAATCAAGTTAATCATCATCATGATATGATTACTTTACATTCAATTGCATTGGAAGTTTTTAATATTTTAAACAAGTAGATATTCTCTCTTGTATTTTGTTTTGCGTTGTAAAAAAAATTTTCAACTGGGATGAAAAAAAGGGTATGACTAGATTTACACACGGTATGATAACTTTTCTGTGTTCTGATCCGAGGTCCTGTCTAGTTGATCAACAAATTTTAAAATCCAACCGAAGCTATGGTCGTAAAAACTTTGTCGGCTAAAATTTTTTGTTTTAGTATTTAAAAGCTTCTTTTTTAACTTCTATTATAAAAAGACGATCTGCACCGTATTAAATTTTACTATATATAACTCAATCAAATTATTTTTCATCTATTATCATCCATCATCTATCCATTACCCATCATCTGTAATTAAACAAATATTTTACAAAATACTTTAACAAATAATAATAAACATTTTTAATTTTAAAATCCATAAAAAAAAAAAAATAAATATGTTGATAAGTGGCCATACTTGTGTTGATGAAAAAGAACCTCTTCTAGAAGAAATTGAAGAAATAAAAGAATACCACTTCCATGTCTACTTTTTTCAAGTAAGAGTAATGGGAGAATGAGCAAGAGAGACATACAATAGATAATAAATTAACCAGTTGGTTTAATTTTTAATTTTTCGTTAATAAAATAAAGGAAAATAAAGAAAGCCGCGAAGCCGCGGTTAAACTTCGAAATAAAATTATCGAATTAATCGCTAAAGGATTTTTTAACCCGGTACCATATCATACAGTTAACCATAAACCGCTAGGGCCGCATATAATTGTATGTGATATATATAATATATATAATTAATTAATTAATTAATTAATTAACATTAATATTAATGTTTATTATGTATGTATTCTCTAGGGATCATATGAAGTGTGGTGTCCAAAAGAGCATTTTTCAAGGGTGTACTCGTGGTTTCTTTTACATAGGGGTGAGCTTTCAGTCATGGTTCATCCTTTGACAATAAATGAGGTCAAAGACCACACAGAAAATGTGACTTGGATGGGCAAATCCATACCCTTGGATATAGCTCAGTTATCGGATAAATTGCCAGAAGTTCCTGCACAATACCCAGAATTAAAAATGGGTTATTCTGCACCAAAATGAGAAATAATTTTTTTATAAAGCAATATTCTACTCATGTATTTATTAATTTGTTGTATAATCGTCATTGTTATTATTATTATTTAATAAAACACAACTTTTAATTATTGGATTATTGGGATAATCTAAACCTAATATGAAATGATTGAAAATTTATACGAACCTATTACAATTTCGATAGTGAATACAAAGAAAAATATAAAAAAAAAATTTTTCTCTAAAAAAATATTATTATTTTTCTTTCTATTTAATAATAATATTTTAATGCTTTATTTAATTTTATAAAAATAACAAAAATGTCAGATTTTAGTGATATTAGTTATCTCTGTAAGTTATATACTATAATGACAATTATTATGATTAATAACTAACAATGTCATGTTCACTAATTAATCAATTCGCATTCACATTCAAATATATTAGCAAGAATTATTTATACGCCATTCATTATGGCATGGTAAGTGTCATAAATTTCTAATTCATAAAAAATATTCTAGTTCCATCTTCCAATTAATTCATTATCTAACTCTTTCATCTTCCAATTCATTCATTCATTCATTCATAAAAAAGGTTGGTAATAAACATTAATCAAACCAACAAATTAAAAATACTCTCATGTTCTAGATTTTTTCATCTTGAACCAAGGACATTGTTTTCATATTTATTTTTTTTAGGATTATTGATACAATTAATGTATGATATAACAATATATTATATTATATTTAAAAATTCAATAATTATTACTGGAAATTTCGAAGATATTTTATCAAATGATGTTGATATAAAATTATTTCAAATTTCAAAATATTTGAATTCAATTTCTTTAAACTTTTTCATGTAAGAGCATTTGTTTATTCGATTTTTTTTTTATTTTTTTATTTTTCTAATACTTTTATTTTTTTTATTTTTTTTGAATAGATCGAATTTATTTTTATTACAGGCATTTTGTAATTATTTAATTGAACAATTATCTCATAAAAAATTTTCAAGTGTTTGGGAACATCAGAGTTTTACGATACTGGCGATCCTACTCATACCGCTGTAAGTATAGTGTTAATTACGTAATTTGCTGTTATATACGTCATCATAATGCATTTGATGATCGTCAACCATTTTATTTTAGGTTACCAATACTTGAATTTGTGTTAACAGAACATGTTGATAATAACAGTTTATTAATAGACAAAGAGATCATTTTAGGATTAATTTTTGGAGGATTAATATTCATTATAACGTTATTAAACATAAGAATAAACATAAAGCTTAATAGATTAATTAAAAACAATCAATTTTCAAGAAACATTGTTATGAATCAAGGAAAATTAATATATTTTCAAGATTTAAATCTTTGGTTGATCATTAGTTTATCAATTTTATCAGCAAGTTATATAACATATAATATAGTTTATAGGTTAAATTTGATCACAGACAATAAACTTGTTTTAGATTTCATTATAATCAATATAAATTTTAGTAAGTTTATAATATTAATATTAATCATCACAATATTTTATCCTAATTTTGAGTTGAACTCTTCCAAATCAAAAAGACAAATCTCTGAACCAATTGATACAACAAAAGATTTTGATAGTACTGTTATAGCATTAGGTACTCCTAAACATTATGCTGAAAGCACTATAAGGAGTAAACAGATCATAGTTGAAATGAGACAAGATGTTATTGTGGATGCTAGAGAATTTGATGATAATGACGGTGCAAGAACTCCTTTCAGACCTTTTTCCCCCGCTTCTCATTCTTTGTCTTCATCTAGTTTGAATAATTATCCTAACAAGTCATTGAAAAATAATCGACAACAAAATAATAATGGTAAAAATAATAATGATGATAATATCACCATCGCCACTGCCACTACTCCTAGATCAAGTAATTATAGTAATGCTACTACTCCTAGATCAAGTAATTATAGTAATACTGCTACTAGATTAAGTAATTATAATAATAATGATTATGGTGTTAGATTAGGTGGAGGCAAATTTAATCATACTATTCATGGAAGTTCTGGATTATCTCAAGAGCATTCAATTATAAAAGAAGAATCAGAATATAATAATTGCAATGATACATCTTCAAGTATTTATAGTTCAGATATTAGAATTGGATCAAATCTGCAATCAACAGTCGGTGATAATAGTAAAACTAATGTTCATCTATCTCCATTATTATCCTCCTCAATGAGTAACAGTAACAGTAACAGTAACAGTAACAGTAACAGTAACAGTAACAGTAACAGTAACAGTAACAGTAACAGTAA